TACGTGAACATGTACGATAACTAAGTAATTCCGTGATATATAATGGTGCCATACCATTTAGCGCCTTATAAACTAACAATAAAACTTTAAAAAGAATCCGAAAGTGAACAGGTAACCAATGCAGTTGAATCAATACAGGGGTGATATGATCAAATTTCTTGGTTAAAGTAACGATACGAGCAGCCGTGTTTTGCACAGACTGCAAACTACCTATCATATGCTTAGGGAGGCCATACAATAAAGAGTTACAATAGTCTAGTTTAGAAGTAACAAACGCATGAACAATAATTTCCGTAGTTTCCTCAGTGAGGTACTTCCTAATTTTAGAAATGTTCCTTAAGTGGTAGTACGACGTTTTGCAGATCTTATTTACATGTTCCACCATATTACAGCATAACATCAAAATACGTGGAGTAAGTCACGGAGTTGGGAATGAAATATACAACAACATACAGATGCCATGAGCTAATCACAAACCTAGCATGTTAAGGGGGTTAGAATCCCCTCTCCTCTCCAAGTTCAGGTCAGAATATAGTAAGAATTACAAAGTAGTTTCTCTTCAGGATTGCAATCACAATAACCTACAAAGAGATATTCACTCCTCTCCAGGGGTAAAAATCCCCTCAAAGAGGTCCTTGGTGGATTCGGAGGAGTGGCAATCCTCCACTCCACTCCCTCTCTGAGATAAAAATCCGCAGGGAGAGGTTCTTGGTTCTTAGAAACTTCTAGATCAAAGAACAAAACAAATAAAGCAGCCGTTAAGCGGTGGATTATTATACGCTAATGGCGGAGTTTGACCGTGAGTGGTGCAACCAGGTTTTAGACTTGATGATTGCATTGCGAAATAACAACGCATTCTATGCAAGGTAACATCTTTTCCTAGAAGGTTTGTGCGGAAAACTTGACGTATTAAGCGTGTTTCCAATTAGAAGATAAAGTTGGGCCTTTTTAAATGATGACCTAGTCGTTTCAGCTTAGTTAAATTCCAATTTTTGAAGAAGTAGCAGGCCAGAAGTAACAAGCATTTTGTTCCACGAAGAGAAGAGTATGAAATGCTGTTTTGCTGAGTTAGGCGCGAAATTGTAGGCATCAACCGTTCATGTGACCGCTGGTATCTTATTGGCTGAGCAAATCATTCAGTGTAACAGGGGTCACATGTAGAAAGTAACCCGTGAAAGGAAGTGAGCGGGCTCATTCTCCTTAAAATGATTACTGGTAAAATCGGGTCTATGGTTATCACATCAACTTTAATTTATCCTTTAGTATAAATTAGCTTGCAATGGGCAGCTGTGAGAGGCGATTACCTTTATTTCTGCATTTTCTCCGGAGAAAAAAGGCCAAGGTAATACTTGCGAAAACGAGACCAACAATGACAGTTGAATATGCGACGTGTAATGTGGTTCTTTCTTCTTTCATACCGTCAACTAGAAATCAAGCAAAACAAAAGCTAAACAATACTAAGAGACTTTTTGAAACGGCCATCTCTGTCCTTAATTTGGCACAATTAGCATTGCCTTTATCATTAACATTTTAAATTTCCTACATGTATCCACCACTTTGTCGTTACCTTACAAGATGAGAGATAATTCATTCCATCAGCTATCTGCTGGGCAAATTGCATAAGCTGCCGTGAAGTAAGATTTGTTTGCGGCTTTACATCGGGACTGTTGTAGTACGTGTCCTTGAGACCCCGACTCTTCCTTAGGAACCCCAATAGATCACCGTAAGGAATATACTCAATGAGCACGAGTAAAGGCTCTGTGAGAAAAGATTGTATGATACATGATTCATTTTAGAGTTATTTAAAAACGTGATAATTATACAATTTGTAGATCGCTAGTCATAGAATTATCTCTAAAGGCTCGTTGTTTTCGACTGAGATGATTTGCGTTTTTTGTAATCACCTTTCTCTGAAACTTTTGTTAAAAGATTTTTTAGAAGTTTTTTAGACAATAAAACACAACACTGGTGCCTTAGCCAACTGTAGAAATAACAAGTAAATCATAGTAAAAAATGTGGTTTTAACCAGGTCTCTCTATTAAGGTCTATATAGGGTGAAAGGGCGTGGCAGATAATTACTCCATTTACCAGTTTCTGTGACGCATCCTAGTAGCTTGATCACGTGAGGATGAGGTTTCATCTGTTTCATCAAATTCAGTTCTGACAGCAGGTCCTCCTTGTCAGAATCCGGGGAGTTTTCTATCCAAACACAAAAGCAATAACTAAGCAAACATATTATTATAAATAAGCGCTTTACTAATCATAGGTTTCAATCTCAAAATATCACCGACCTTTCAGCATTTTTACTGCTACCGTAGTCAAGCCCTTCACGCCTTTAATATTCCAAGCCTCTCCTTTGGCAACTTTAGAGAAAGTACCCTTTCCAATGTCTTTAACTATGTGGACAAATTCCCTACTCACTTCCCAATTCTTTGATGTTGTGCTGGGTTTAACATCGTCACAGTTCTCGTAAAGGGCTTGTTGTTCCTGCTCAAGTGAGGTACTATCTTTGGATGGTGGTGGTGCAAATGAAACCTCATATGCTAATATAGCATTCTCTGTGCCGTTTACATATGCTGCCGTCACCTGGAGAGGTGTTCTGTGACCCTGTAATTCAATTTTGGATTAAAAAATAACACCGATTAGTAATATTAGAACACGATATCTAAGATATCGGATGGTTGAATCGAAATACATCTGTGAAGGTTGTGGGAAGGCTCTTCGATGGATGTCTTAGAACTGACGCTGTGACGTATGTAGTCTTCGGGACACTTCGCCTAAATTTTAAATGGTTGCTGAAGGAGGTCTTTGAAACATCTACATTAAGGACCTACAGAAGATCAG